ATATTCTCACCTGAAACATTTTTTTCACCAGAATTTTGAACATGTCTTCACATTCCTTCCTTGCCTGCATTGTTTCTGTTAAGAGGTTTGAGCCTAGTCTGGTGGGATATCCTTAAAATTACGTTGATGATTCTCATTTGCCATTTTTAGAATATTATCTTTGTTTCAATTTTTTGCCCTTTTGGTTATAATATACCTTTGAGAAGATCTATTTGGAGGCCTTTGTATTCCCTGAATATTGATGTCTATATATCTCTCTAGATTTGGAAAGTTTTGTGATAATAAATCATGAAAGAGCTTTTCTATGCTTTTACCCATCTTTTCACCTTCAGGGATGCCTCTAATATCTGGGAGCAGGCCACCTTTTATCCTGGCAAGGAGTCCAGGAAGGACCACAGGCAGATATTCAGCCATATAATGGAGTCGAATATTTTCTGTATTTGGGGCCAGCAGATGGTGGAATTTAAGACAACTGGATCCCACATGGCTGACTGAGTGATTCAAATCCCAGACTAATGGCTTAAAGAACATGCTGGATGTGTGTGCATGCATACCCCAAATCCAAAGAGAATAATGGAAAAGAAAGGGACTGTGGTATGACTATACCCTTAGGGAGAGATTTCTCACTCCTTTCTCTCTCTTTCTCTGCCTCTCTCCAATAAGTGCATTTGCCTTACTGCAAAACTTTAAAAACATCCACATTTTGTTCCCAGTTTTTATTATTTTTAATTCTTGTGCTATAGGGCATATGTGCTCACCAGAGAGAGACACAGAGAGAGAGAAAGTGAAAAAATGCCTCTGTCCCCAATTGAGAATACCCATACCACAATTGTTTTCTGTTCTTTTGCGATTTGGGGCATGCTCACATAAGAAATCAGCATGGTTATCAAGCCACCAGGTCCAGGACTTAAATGACACAGTTGGACATGTGTGATCTAGTTACCCTTAACCACCACACCATTGGCTGCTCTATTCTCATGTTTAATGGTTACTCTTTTATTATGTTTTGGTGGTTTGTACTAAATTTGAGGTCTTGTCTTCACAGTCACAGATTCTTTCTTCTGCATGGTCAATTTTGCTGTTAATATATTTGACACAGATTTTTATATCATTGCATCACATTGTATTCATCATCTCCAGAAATTCAGTATTATTCTTTTTTTAAAGATGTCTATCTCTTTACAGAGATCCTCCTTCATGCCATGAAATGCTATTCTCTTCTCATGGAACTGTTTTCTCTTGCATCTTAGTGAGTTTTGTTATGATGAGTATTCTCAATTCTTTTTTTGACATTTCTGTGAATTTCTGTATTGTATCCATCATTTGTGAGGTGTTATGTTGCTATGGGGGAGACATACTACCTTCTTTTTTTCATATTTCTTTGTGTCTCTGCATTGACTACTAGGGATTTGGTAGATTCTGTAATGCCAGGGCGCTAGGTAGCACTAAATCCTATGTGTGCAACTGTCAATGTGGTCCAGGAGAGAACATTTGCCAGATATCTCTTTCAGATCGGGTTGGGGATTGCCTGGTCTGTGTATGAGACCTAGTAATGGAACGGCTCTTCAGACCTACTTGAAGACCTGACAACATGGCCGAGGAGGGAGCAGAGGCAAGTCCATATATGAGACCCAGGATGGGGGTCCTGAGCAGCCTGTGTATAACACCCAAGAGTGGCATCTCTCTTAAGTTCTGAATGTACTCTGGAAAGGCAATGGGCGAAAGAAGGACAGGATAGCCCTCAGGACCTGAGACTAGGCCTTGCAAAATATTCCAGGAGAGAACAGGGAAGAGTTGTGTGTTTTAGACCGAAGCTAGTCTTACATGCCCTGCCTCTAATATCTGGGAGCAGGCCACCCTTCATCCTGGCAAGGAGTCCAGGAAGGACCACAGGCAAGTCTATGAGACAGAAGAAATGGCCCTGCATGGCTTGCACAGGATACACAAAAGCAGAGGAACTACCTATGTGCAGATGTGTCCCTGGGAAAGTCATTTAAGAAAGGCCAAAGGTGGGCCAGGAAGTGATATGGTGGTTAGGGTGCTGGACTCCCACATGGCTGACCATGATTCAAATTCTGGACCTGGCGGCTTGCTTTCTCACATTTCCTTTCTCTATCTCTGTCTCTCTCTAGTCAAATTAAAGAAAATAATGATAGTGAGTAAAAATAAATAATTCTAAAAAAAAGAAGAAGAAGAAAGAAAGACCATAGGTAACCTATCTATGAGGCCTTGGCAGACACTGCAACTATAGAACCTGTCAAATAAGGGAGGCTGGTTGGATTTTATCAAATTCCTACTAGAAATTACATGGCTGGATCACGCTCTCCAGGATCAGGAGTTGATCTGGGTGTGCCCTATCTTCTTCACTTTGACCTGGAAGGTCGGCTGTCCTTCCACTCTGTCAGTTTACCCTTCCCTCTCCTTTCCTCACACTTAAAGTTCAGGGAGGTTCAACCAAGCTGTACCAGGGGTGGCATCCATTGTGGCAGGTTTCCCAGGACTTGAGATGGAAAAGAAAAGGAATGCAGGCTTCCCTGTCCACCAAACAAGGGAAAGTGTCAAAGTTACTCAGAATCTGTTGGGATCAGGAGTGCTCGAGCATGTTCTGGTGGGAGGGAAAGGACCCTGAGTTCTTGGTCTCTGGACTAAGAAGGCATCAGTAAGATTCAGTTGGTGCTGGCGCTTACCCAATTTCTCCCAACCACAGCGGCTTCTCTGTTTCACATCCTCTGCTCTTGAGAAACCAGAATGCTAGGTCCTGGGCATAAACAGAGCTCCACTTGCTGGTTAGTTTGCAGGACAGAGCAGCACTCCTATGGGTTGGGGTGTGGGTTGGGCGGGAGGTCAGATGTTTTCTCTGAAGCTGGATGTCCTTGGACTTCCCCTGCAATGTGTGTTAGCTCTGTCACAGTGTCACTGACCTTGTGCAGGCAGAGAGTGCTGGAATATGAGGTAGGGGTCTGGAAATCAGAGTTTCAGAGGAACATTCCTCTCCCCTCTCTGCCATGGTGGAGGAGGGCTCCAAGCCCCCACTAGCTTTAGACTCCCTCTTTTTCCAGGTAGAGATGCTGTGTTCCAGAAGTTCCCACTATCTTTGTTTTGTACTTGGTCAGCCTCCTCTGGAACTCAGCCATTTATCCAGGTTTTGTTTGTTTGTTTTTGCCTTTCTTCACAGAAAGAAGTCAAGGTGGGTGTATCTAAAGCCAGCCATCTTCATCAGGACTCACAGAAATCTAATATTTAAAAGAAATTACTTCCAGGGGCTGGCAGGTGGTGTGGTGGTAAAGGCACTAGATTCTCCATACTTTGAGTCCCGAACCTGGTGGCTTGCGTTTTCAATCTCCCTTTCTCACTTGTTCTCTGTCTCTCTCTGGCTACACTAAAGAATAATGATAAATAAATAAAGTTAAATAAACAATTCTTTAAAAAACATTTATTTCATATGAATATGTGTGTATGTTTTGTATATTGTGTGTGTATATTAGGAAGGTGCTGTGTGTATGCAGAGATTGTTATCCAAAGTAAAAAGGCTTGAAAGTAAATGTCACATTCTTGGTTTACTTATGAGGTAACCATAAATATTGACCTTGAACAGGCTCACCCTAGAGCCTTCAGGGCCTTGAAACTCCTTAACAACCTTCCCTGGCCATATTTGTATCTTCAGCATTCATAAGTCAGCCTCAACACTCATGGCATGTTTAAAATGGAAGGCCCTGTAACATCTGCCCTCACTTCCTGTTGTCATAAAGAATGCTGATTTGATCCACAACTAAGGAATCTCTAAGGCTCTGTATCTCCAAATTTTACTGAGGGAAGAAAACTAAATACCTGAATAATTTCTCCAACTCCAATTCATACCTAGCTCAGGAATCTATATCACTTACAGCTAATGCTTTTTCTGTTGAGTCCACACTTACATCATCAGAATGCACTGTACAGTGTAGTCTCAGGAAGCACTCAGGAATTCAAGGGAACTGGAGCCAAATAAATAGCAGCACAACAAAGTTTAGCAGAAAATGAATGAGTGGACTCAGAGGTAACTCTCATTTCAAATGACAGGAGGGGATGAAAGGAGACATGCCTTGGGGGCCTGAATGATACCAGAAATTACAAGTGCCTTGGCTGTAAGGAGGGAAGAGTTGCTGAGGGCCACAAGGAGGATGCTGGTGAGGAGAAAAAATTGTGAATTTTTCAGAGAGGACCTGGCTAGTCTTTTTAAAATTTACTTTATACATTCAATTGCTATACATCATTTAGATTATAAAGAGATTTTACCCACCACGATACATATCTCAGTCCAGTTGAGAATACTATACACATCCTCATTAACAGATAACAAATTATATCTGTGTCCCACAAATATAGTTTTCTTTCTTTTCTTTCTTTCTTTCTTTCTTTTTTTTTTTTTTTTTTTTTTTTTGGGGGGGTTTTTTTTATGTGCTCACCAAAAAGACATTTGCTATAGGGTGCATGTGCTCACCAAAAAGACAGAGACAGGCAGACAGACAGAAAGTGAGAAATCACCCCCCAGAAGGGATGGTCACACTGCAGTCCCTTCTCCTCCATTCTCCTCTTGGGATCTTGGGTATGCACACATACATGCTCGGCGCAAGTTTAAGCCACCAGGTCTGGGACTTGAACCGTGGTTGACTACATGGGAGTCCAGTGACATAGCCATTACGCTAACTGCTGGTCCCTCCCACAAATATCTTATCTCTCTCCACTTTTTCCCCTAATTTCCTTTCTTTATTGGCATCTCTTTGCTTGCCTGTCCTTGGGTCCCATCCAACAACACAAGCTACTTGATCCATTTTGAGAAGTAAACAATCACTGCTAAACTCTGTAGCAGGAAGAGCTGAGAAAGGGTAAGGAAAATCCAACTTCCCTCTTTAAAGCCCTCCTCAGTCATCCCACTCACCTCTCAGCCCATGGACACGACTGACTCTCCCTCCCATAGATCTACACATCATACCTAAAAAACCATGGTACAAATCACTGGGTATGGGAGAACTTTTCAACCTTTATTCTAAAACAAAAATAATAATTTTTTAAAATCCATGTTGTCAAAAATATCAAAAATTAGATTCTCTGAACTCTGCCATGATTCACATGAGGAGACAAGCCAAAACTGCTCAGTTGACTTGAGACCTGATGGGTTGCACTGGTGCTTGCCCTCCCTCCCACACCCCACCTCATGTGCACAGCTATTTTCAGAGGAGGAGGCTCTCATCTTCTCCAGGCCATTTCAATCTCGTAAGGGCATATAAACCAGCCTGGCCAAAGGACAGACTGAAGATGTAGACATGAAGGGGGCAGAACAGATATATGCCGAGCCAGCTTCAACCTATTCACATCCGCCCCACTTGTGTGGACTACTCTGGTTTGGCCAAGAGGATCAGAGCTTGGAATGGCTACCCAAGGACACAGGACACCAATGCATATTTGGGTAGCATATTTTGGGTCCCTCTTCTTAATATCTAGACTCTTGAAAAATGATCCCAGAGAATCCTTTGAAGAAAGTGAGAAAAGAGGTGGAACAGGTGCTTTGGTACATGTGAACTCCCTCGCTCACCCTAATTTCTTTTTTCTATTATATTTCCTCTCTCATCCAGTATTCAACTTCACTCCACCATGAACCCACCTTGGGATTTACAAGGCCATTGCTGGCTTTGGAGTGCTCACATAGAGCATTGCGTCCACAAGAAAGGTCGGCATGTAGCTCAGGGGGAGGTAGAAGAGCTTGGCGTCCCAACCAGCTGAGTACCGGGTACGTGGGTGGCAGGCAATCAATGCATGCTCCATGCAATTTGTCACTAAGGACAGATCCTCTGTGCACTTTTGTTCCATTCTTTTAATTAATTTCAAGCCTGTACAGAATGAGAAATTAATCATGTCAACTTTTACTTCAAATACTCCTGTTTTGAGATCAGCAGATGGCATAATGGTTACATTGCTGGACTCCCACATAGTGTACCACAGTTTGAGCCCTGGACCCAGCAGCCTAAAACTCATGCTGGGCATGTGTGTGTGCATGCCCAAAAAAAATCCTGAGAGGAGAACAGAAGAAAAGAGATTGCAGCATGGCAATTCCCCCTGGGGTGGTGATTTCTTGCTTTCTCTCTCTCTCTCTGTCTCTCTCTCTCTAGCAAGCGCACACTCTACAGCAAAAATCTCTTTTAAAAATAAGTACTCCTGTTTTGGGAACCAGCAGTTAGCGTAATGGCTATGTCGCTGGACTCCCACGTAGTCGACCGCAGTTCGCATCCCGGACCCGGTGGCTTAAAACCCACGCCGGGTGCATGTGCATGCGTGCCCAAGATCCCGAGAGGAGAATGGAGAAGGGATTGTGGCGTGGCCATCCCCTCGGGGGGGTGATTTCTCGCTTTCTGTCTCTCTGTCTCTCTCTGTCTGTTTGGCGAGCGCACGCGCCCTTTAGTGAAAAACCTCTCAAAATAAATAAATAAATAAATACTCCTGTTTTGAGATCAACATAATGAGGAGTATTTCTAAGACATAACCCCACCCCTCTCCCCAATGCCATGTCCCAAGTCCAATCTCTCTAGATTCCTGGGAAATGCCCCCAACCTTTACTTTGAGTATATCAGTTCCACACTAAGAACCCTCTGCCTGTCTTTCTGGAAAAAACTGGACTGCATAAATTAAAGTGTTCTATCATGACTAGAAAATTAAGCATGTAAAACCCAGCCCTCTTCAACGAAGTTTGCATGGAATTTACAAATATCCTCTTACTCTAGCTTCTCTTTGCTAATCAAAAAAAGTGACGTGCCCACAAGAAGCCCTGGGCCCAAGTTCTAGCAAGCTTGAACCCTTCAGGTGACAAGTTGAACATGGGGACCACAGGAGTAGACTAAGGTCCCTACTTTGTGGAGAAGTCAGAGTATGTAAGATGGATCCTGATAATGTTGGAGGCATAAGTGATGGATCCATGATTCCAGAAGATGGCTTATTTGTCCCTTAACTGTTCAAAGCTTACTCACAGGATGCCAGAAACTTCTCTCCATATATATCCTTGACCTCAGAGCTGCCCCGGTCCCATAGCTGCTTGAAATTCCGGAGTAACACTTTACTATTGGTCACATGAGTCTTGAAGAAACCAGGCTCAATCATAGCCACCTTCACACCAAAGTAGGAGAGTTCCCTCCTGCAAAACAGACAGGCAGAGAGGCAAAGGTTTCAGAGACCATGAGAGGAAAACATCAACAATTAAAACATAAAGTCGGGAACCAGCAGATGGCATAATGGTTACATTGCTGGACTCCCATGTGGTTGAGCATGATTGAAGCCCCAGACTCAGTGGCGTCAAACTCAGGCTGAGTGGGTGTAAATTCACACCCAAATCCTGAAAAGAGAATGGAGGAGAAGGAACTGTGGTATGGTCATACCCACTGGGAAGTGATTTCTTGCTTTCTGTCTCTGTTTCTTTCTGTCTCTCCAGCGAGCACATGTGCCTTATAGCAAATATCTCTCCTTTAAAAATAAATAAATAAACTGTCGGAACCAGCAGTTAGCGTAATGGCTATGTCGCAGAACTTCCATGTGGTTGAATGCAGTTCGAGTCCCAGACCCAGTGGCTTAAACTCACTCCAGGTGCACATGTGTGCGTGCCCAAGATCCTAAGAGGAGAATGGAGGAGAAGGGATTGCGGTGTGGCCTTCCCCCCGGGGGGTGATTTCTCGCTTTCTGTCTCTTTCTGTCTTTTTTGGCGAGTGCACGTGCCCTATAGCAAAAATCTCTCAAAAAATAGTAATAAATGAATAAATAAATAAATAAATAAATAAATAAATAAATGGTCCAAAATACCACACTGCAGGGTGGGAATGGGATAAGCTCAAATTCTGAGAGTTATAATGTGCACCATGAGGGTTAAAAAGGATGATAATGGGGGACCAGCAGTTGGCATAATGGCTATGTTGCTGGACTCCCCTTGAGC